CTTCTGAGCTTTGTTAGGGTGAGTTTAGATAGGGCTGCAGTCTATGGCTAATTTAACCCCACTCCAAGATTTCCAGCCAGTGTCCATGTATGAAACAGTCCCTCCCTTCATGCCTAGTAGAAACACACATTATTCCAATCTGTGTGAGCTCCTGGAAGTGTTCGGTGTACTGAGTTCCAGTGTGGCTTTCTCCAGCATTATGTGGCTTCATACTTTGCATATGCAGGTGAGTATTCAACAAAAGATTCTAAAGGACCCTTCTATAGATCTCCAGAGATCTCCTAGTTCTATGAATTTCTGTGTAGTACTCTCTGCTCCAGTTTTTTTACCCCACAAATTCTAGTTGTCTTAACTTCTCTAATCTCTCCTGGGTTCCACTGGGGTTTCCTTACTCTGTGCTGCAATCTAGAAAGTGCCTACAGGCAGTATGCTGGGGCACCTATAGTGCTCATGTCATTTATTTCAAGGCTTGCAATCCTGCACTGACTGTTTTCCAATGTCTAAAAATATTTGTTCGTATATTTTAATCCTGTTTTCTAGTTTACAATAGGAGGGCAATTTTCTTAAATTTTTTTTTTCAACGTTTTTACTTATTTTTGGGACAGAGAGAGACAGAGCATGAACGGGGGAGGGGCAGAGAGAGAGGGAGACACAGAATCGGAAACAGGCTCCAGGCTCTGAGCCATCAGCCCAGAGCCCGACGCGGGGCTCGAACTCCCGGACCGCGAGATCGTGACCTGGCTGAAGTCGGACGCTCAACCGACTGCGCCACCCAGGCGCCCCAGGAGGGCAATTTTCAAAGCAGTTGATCCTGCACAGGAAGATGTACCATTTTTATAATAACTCTGTGTTATTTTTTAGTGGTTGCTCTCCAGATTAAAATATGCACCTGCTGTAAGTTATTATGGTCTACCTACAAATAAAAGTATACTAATTCAGTCTATGAAATTTATGACAGCATAATTCCATTTCCCTCTTGTGGCATCCTCATGGTATTATATTCTATTTCTATATAAGTTGTGAACCCCACAAATGTTAATATTTTTGCTTTAAATAGCCAATAGTCTGTGTGCATATATTATACATAGCCAATAGCCTATGTGTATACATTATCCAAAAAGGTACCAAAAAGTTTTCCTATGTATTTGTGCCACTATTTACCATTTCTGCTGTTCTTTGTTCTTTTCTGTATACCCAAGGTTCCATCTGGTCTCTTTCATCTTTACCTCGTAGAACATTTTTTAGCACTTTTTGGCAGTTCAGATCTACTAGAGACAAATTCTTTCATCTTTGTTTTAAGTTTATTTATTTTGAGAGAGAGAGAGAGAGAGTACGCCATGGAGGCGCCATGCATGCCAGGGAGGTACAGAGAGAGAGAAAGAGAGGGGTTCTCAAGCAGGCTCCGCACTGTCAGTGCAAAACCCAACACGGGGCTCAATTCCACAAACTATGAAATCATGACCTCAGCTGAAATCAAGAGTCAGATGCTTAACCGACTGAGTCACCCAGATGACCCAAATTCTGTCACTTTTTAATCTGTGTGAAAATATCTTTGTGTTACCTTGATTTCTATAGACTATTTATGCTCAACATAGAATTCTAGGTTGACAGGGGTTTTTTTTTTTCCCCTTCAGCACATTTATGGCTATCATCCCATTGTCTTTAAGCCTCCAGTTTTTTTTTTAATTTTTTTAATGTTTTTACTTATTTTTGAGAGAGAGAGAGAGAGAGAGAGAGAGAGCGAGCAGGGGAGGGGCAGTGAAACAGGGAGACACAGAATCCAAAGCAGGTTCCAGGCTCTGAGCTGTCAGCACAGAGTCTCACACAGGGCATGAACCTACAGACTGCGAGATCATGACCTGAGCCAAAGTCAGATACTCAACCAACTGAGCCACCCAGGTGCCCCGCCTCCAGTTTTTTTTTGATGAGTAGTTAGCCATAACCCATACTGTTATTCCCATGTATATACTGTATCTTCTATTCCGCTGCTTGTGCAATCTGCTCTTTAGTTTTCAGTAGTTTGATTATGATGTGCGTAGGTCTGGAATTTTGTTGTTGTTGGGTTTGCTTTTGTTTTGTTTTGCATTTATACTACTTAGGGCTTGCTGAACTTCTTGATTCTGTCAACTAAAGTATTTCATCAATTTTAGAAGTTCTTGACCATGGTCTCTTCAAATATGTCTTCTGCCACTTCTCTCTTCTAAGATTCCAGTTATACACACATTAGACTGACATTATCCCATAGGTGGAAGAGTTCTTTCCTCCCTCTCCCCAACTCTCTGTTCTCTTGTTTATCAATTTGGATATATTCCATCAACAAGTCTTCACATTCACTGATCCTTTCTTCTGATATGTTATGGAGATATTAAGCCCATGTGACACATTCTTCACTTCTAATATTGTATTTTTCATATCTGGAATTTTGTTAAGTTTATTATTTATTTTTTATTTATTTTGAGAGAGAGATGGAGAGCAAGCAGAGGAGGAGCAGAGAGAGAGAGAAGGAGACACAGAATCCCAAGTAGACTCCTCACTGTCAACACAGAGCCTTATGTGGGGATTGAACCCATGAACCGTGAGATCATGAGCTGGACCAAAACCAAGAGTCGGATGCTTAACCAACTGAGCCACTCAGGTGCCCCTTCGTTTCTAGAATTTCTGTTTGGTTCCTTGGTAGAGTTTCCAAGACTCTGCTAAAAATCCCCATCTTTTCATGCATAATGTCCACCTTTACCATTAGATCCTCTAGCATTCTTTTTTTTCATAGTTATCTTTAAATCCCTATCTGATAATTCCACCAGCTGGATTATCTTTGGGTCTCTTTCTACTGGCTATTTCCTCTCCTGATATTTGGCCACATTTTCTTGCCTTTTCTTGTGCCTTGTAATTTTTTATGATAAGACAGACATTCTGTATAAAAATACATTAATGATTGAGGTAAGTAATATTCTACTTCTAGAAAGAGACGTTACCCTTCTGTCAGGCCACTAGAATGTCCTCATATGTAAGTAATCTGGGCCTGGGCTTGGATGCAGCATTAGTTTGATACAGCCTATCACTGGCTTAAAATATTTAGAGGGTGGGAATCAGTACTTTCACTAGAGCAGGGCCTGGGGTCCAAGCCCAGGTAGGATTTCAGAGATCTGCCTGTGCTTCACAGCTAAGCCATGGGCTTTCAAAACTGTGGGAGTGCTTTTATGTGTACACTGTGATTGAACAATTTAAGTAAACAGATGGCAGATGGTGTGAAACAGGTTTCTCACTACTGGAGTAAGAATTTACAGATAAACAAGGGGAGGAATTTAGAATGATCTATGTGGCAATGGATTTGAGTTGGATATGTCAATATGAACTCATTTGTATATATACAGATTAGTATACTTCCTGGCTCTGTCAGCTGAGAGGGCCTACAGGCACAACATCTCAGTAGCAACAGGAACATCTAACACCTAGATCTTGGTTTCTCCATTCACCAATTAAAGCAACCAGGGCTCCTTGGAGAAAAGGCTGACACTAGGACCGTGGCAGGAAATATAGAAGATAAACCTGGAGCATCAGCAGTGCCAAAAAGTAAAAACAGTGGCCATACACACACACACACACACACACACACACACACACACACACTGATGGGGGTATGTCAAAGAGGCATAGGAGCCAATTGAACCAGCTCCCAATGGCCAGAAGTGGAACAATTTCACCAACAAAATACAGTAGTATTGGATTATAACCTCAAGTATAAAATAAATATCCATGAGTCCATACTGTTAAAAGAATGATTGAACAAATAAATAAATGAGGGGAAAAGAGACAAATTTCCCGCACAGGAGAACTCCAAATAATTTACACAGATACTCCACCCTTAAGGACAGGAAGAGTGACTACCCACTTAAGTGTGGGCTTTGCACAAGTGACTTCCTTCCACAGAGTACAGCATGGAAAGAGAGGGAAAAGGAGAAACCTGAAAAACACTACCTCCATCACATGCTCAAGCTCAACATCAACGCCACTAAGTCATGTACCCTTACTACGATGTGTAGTAAATGACAATTAATCTCTGTGGTCTTCCTCCCCAAAACCTAAAACCCCATCCTAATTATGAGAAAAATATGAGCCAAATACTAATAGAGGGACATTCTACAAAATGCCTCAACAATACTCCTCAAAACTGTCAAGGTCATCAAAATCAAGGTAAGTTGAGAAATTGCCACAGCTCAGAGGAGTCTAAAGAAACATGAAAACTGGGGCGCCTGGGTGGAGCAGTCGGTTAAGCGTCCGACTTCAGCCAGGTCACGATCTCGCGGTCCGTGAGTTCGAGCCCCGCGTCAGGCTCTGGGCTGATGGCTCAGAGCCTGGAGCCTGTTTCCGATTCTGTGTCTCCCTCTCTCTCTGCCCCTCCCCCGTTCATGCTCTGTCTCTCTCTGTCCCAAAAATAAATAAACGTTGAAAAAAAAAATTAAAAAAAAAAAAAGAAACATGAACACTAAACGTAACGTGGAACCCTGGATGGGATCTTAGAACAGAAAGAGGACATTAGGTAAAGTCAAAGAACATATGAATGAAGTATGGATATTACTTAAAAATAACATATCAATATTAGTTCATTACTTACAGTACATATACCATACTACTATAGGTGTTAATAATAGGGGAAATTCGGTGTGGGGCATAAGGGAACTTTCTGTACTACCTTTGTGATTTTTCCATAAAACTAAAACTATTCCAAACAATAAAGTTCATTTTAATTTTTTTTAAGTTTATTTATCTATTTTGAGAGAGAAAGAGAGTCAGAGAGCACAAGTGGGGAAGGTGCAGAGAGAAGGAGAGGCAGAATCCCAAGCAGGTTCCACACCATCAGCACAGAGCCTGATGCAGGGCTCGAACCCACAAACCACGAGATCAGGACCTGAGCCGAGATCAAGAGTCAGATGCTTAACCGACTGAGCCACCCAGGCACCTCTGAAGTTCATTTTAAAAAAAGAAAAAGACTGGGAACTCACTCTCTGCTTTAAGCATGACTGCCAGATTTTCCCATCTGTTAGGGAATTTTCTTTACTTTCCAGTCCCACACCTTGCTTTCCGCAGCACACGTGATCTCTCTCAACCCTGTTCTTCCTCCCCAGCCTTCCTTTTGGAGGGCAGCTTCCAACGTTGTGTGAAAGCCTGGAATGAATTAGAGGAGTTTCTCTCACCTCTCCTGCCCCGTCCCCATTCCTTGGGGACTGGAAGCATTGAGTTTTCCATTAGAGTAGTTCCAGACTCTTGGGGGGAGGTCATCTCCAGCTGTTTCCCTGCTTTTAGCCCTCCTCCATAACTGAAAACCTGGGGTGCTTCTGGGGAGTTTCTCTCATCTCTCCAGGTCAACCCCCTGCTTGCTGAGGGTGGTTGCTGTGCACTAGGGGGTAGTTCTGTGGGCCTCAGGTAGGGTCTCTGTCAGCTCCACTTACTTGGTCCAGGGGTGTGGTTCATTACCCCTGAACATTCAGGGAAGACCTGTAGGTGAGAGCTGGGGCCAGGTGCAGACTTGCCCTTTGGTATAAGAGCAGCCGGGGCTCCTCAGGATCCTAGCCCGTCCACACTAGCCCATCCACACCAGCCCGCACCAGCCCACCCTGCCAAAGTGTGGCTGGTTTCTCCTCTCCTCTCATCTGCTGCTGGAAGGTTCCTCCTCTGTGGGCTGTTCTAGACCAGAGCAGCGATGGGTTTCTTCTCTAGTGTGAAGCTTTCATTACTTTCTGGAGTTTGGTTCATTTAGGTTTCCTTGTATCTTCAATCTCTTCCAACTGAGCCAGCCAGGCACCTCCAAAATACAATGCTTTTTAAAAGAGACCTTGGGAGGGGCTCCTGGGTGGCTCGGTCGGTTAAGCGTCCGACTTCGGCTCAGGTCACGATCTCACGGTCCGTGAGTTCAAGCCCCGCGTTGGGCTCCGTGCTGACAGCTCAGAACCTGGAGCCTGTTTCAGATTCTGTGTCTCCCTCTCTCTCTGCCCCTCCCCTGTTCATGCTCTGTCTCTCTCTGTCTCAAAAATAAATAAACATTAAAAAAAATTTTTTTTAATAAAATAAAAGAGACCTTGGGAATTAAACTTGGGGAAACTTATCAGAAAGAATAGAGAATAAAATAGATGATAATAAAAATAAATAAATAAATAAATAAATAAATAAGGAAATTGGAAGTCCAGTCAAGATAATTTAATATCTGTATAGTAGAGTCTCTAGAGGAAAAAAAAGTCAATTAAATAATTCAAGAAAATGTCCCCAAGTTAACTAATGTAAGTTTGCTAACTGAAAATACAGAATGCCGTCTATGGCCATACCACCCTGAATGCACCTGATCCCGTCTGAAAACACAGAATGCACAGCGTAATGGATTACAAAAGTACACTTATACTAAAGCATATCTTTTTGAAATGTCAAAGCAGTAGAAACAAAGAGAAAATCCTACAAGCTTCCCAAGATGGAAAAATAGGTTACAATGGATGAGGAGTTAATGATTTCAAACTTTCAACAGCCACAGTATAAGCTAGAAGACAGTGGACTAAAATCATCAAAATTCTGAAAGAAAATGATTCCAGTCTGACAATAATACACAGCCAAACTATTAATCAAGGTTGAGAGAAAATTTAAGGCCCTTTCAGACATGCAACGTTTCGAGTAATATGTTCCTATTCCCTTTCTTCAGTGAAATGTGGGAGTGAACCGGGAAAGAAGACAACTCAGGAGAGAAGAAATAGAAGATCCAACACAAAAGACAAGAGAACCCCTGGAATGATAGCTGGGCTCTCAGAAAACAGAAGCTACCCCACACCAGAGCACCTTGCCCTGGGAGGCATTTCTTCAAGATGACGATGCTAACAGAATAAATGATGTGAGAGAAAACAGAACTTTGGGCAACTGGTAGAAATTTCTGAGTTGAGTTAGTGATGATAATGACCCAGAAATTCCTATACACAAGTTATCCCCTCAACTGAAAAGTCAGGTAATGTCAGTATGTCAAAGATATTACTTAAAAACCCACAGGTAAATCCCAAACAGCTAAGAGTTGAGGATAGCTACCTCAGAGAAAGGGGAATGAAGGCGGGGACTGAGAATTCCTGTTTGAACAATCCCTGACAAACTATTTAACTTGCTGAACTGTATAAACTTGAAAAAATATATACATAGAAGAATATGGAAGATGGGGAAAGAGTATAGAAAATACACCTTGACAACTAAATCTGACCTCTGGAAACAAAGAAGTCTGACAAAATTGTCCCATAAAGTAAAAAATGACAAGAATGAATGAGTTTGGGTGGGGTGGGGGAAGAGTAAGAAAGAAGTAACATTACTTCCATGCTACCAAAACTCTGGTCCAATGCTCAGCATCAACAACAGAAATCCGTAAGTTTCTGGGCTCCATGTCCCTAGCCAGTAAAGTGGGTGTAACAGTATCTCTCACAGGACCACTGGTAGGCTTAAATCAAGATAATGCACATGAAGTGCTTATAGCGATGTTAGATATAAATATTATTAACACAGTTAATAATTCACTCTTCTTTAAATAACCGAAATTCTTTTTTGATATCAAATCAGCCAATTCAACTATCACAATACTGAAGAGTTTACTTGAAGAGTTACCTTGTCTACTCAAACATCAAGGCTTCCAACCCTTTCACAGATGTCTCCTAAACAAGAGGGAGGGAGATAAACTGACTATCCAAGAGAAAGAGAAATTGTTTTAAAAAATACTTATCACACTAAAGTATTGACTGTACCAGAAAAACTACCCAGGTCACCATGCTTTATCTTACAGGTTTTCATTGATTATGATCAATCATTCACTCACTAAGCAAGTCAGCAATTAGAATTGAAAATTTTGTACCAACTGTACATTAACTCAGTAATCCTGAGGCAAGAATTTTTCCATTTCAAAATAAGCAAAGTCTCCAACTTATGCACAGATTGTCTTCTCCAAGTTCAATTATACGCTGTTAAAAAGCTTGAGAAGCATTTTTCCAAAGAAATAAAATTATGAAATAAAGTTGAGACCCTGAGCAATCACCATAGTAAGTCCATAAGTACCTAAAAACCATAGAAAAAGAAATAAAACCACTTCTTTTGTGCTCCCACAGCTAGTAAAAAAAAAAATAGCTCTTATTTGAGATTAGACATTATATGCCACACCTGGTTTCATTCATCTTTGTATCCTTTTAAACACAAACCATATAAAACAAAGTAGCCGCCTTCTCTCAGGAGCTTAAAATATTTACTTAATGAATGAATACCTAGAATTAAGAGTCCAGCTTGAACCATACTCTTTCCTATGGAGAAATGCATTATAATTTCCAACTGAAGGAACATCTTCCTTTATCCTGGCAACAAGCCCAGTTTGAACACCAAGAATAATACAGTGTCAGCAGATACTCCATCGACATAATAGTCATTCCTCCTTAGAAATCATATTTGGTCAGAGATCACTCATATTATTGCTAAGTATATAAAAATCACTAAATTGGGTTTTCCGAATATAAAACTTGACCTTCAAAACTTCCCTGATTTCTTTCCCTTTTAATAGCAGCCATCAACAGTTTATCTGGAAAGGTTTTTTTTCCCTAGTTTTATTGGGATTTAATTGACATATAATATTGTATTAGTTTAAGGTATACAGCATAACAATTTATGTACATATAGTGCAAAATGATCATGATAATTCTAGTTAACACCCATCACCATACAGTTACAATTTTTTTCATCACAAATGTGATGAGAACATTTAAGATCTATTCTTCTCTTAGCAACTTCCAAACATGCAATATAGTATTTTTTTTTAAGAGAGAGAGCACACGTGAGCTGGGAAGGAACAGAGGGAGAGAGAATCTTAAGCAGGCTCCATCATGAGCACAGAGCCAGACACAGGCTCGCTAGATCTCACAACCCTGAGATCATGACCTGAGCTGAAATCAAGAGTTGGAGGCTTAAGCGACTAAGCCACCCAAGGTGCCCCTCAATACGGTATTTTTAACTATAGTCACCATGTTGTACATTACATCCCCAGAACTAAGTTATGTTATAACTGGAAATTTGTACCTTTTGACCACCTTTACACATTTCCCCCATCCCCCACCACCTCTGGCAATCACAGATTGGTTCTGTGTCTGGGCCTTTGGTTTTTTAGATTCCACATGTAAATGAGATCATACAGTATTTGTCTTTCACTTAGCATAATTCATTCACGTTCCATTTTTTTTTTTTGCAAACAAGATTTCCTTCTTTTTTATGACTGAATATTCCAATGTGTGTGTGTGTGTGTGTGTGCGCGCGCGTGTGTGTGTGACACATTTTCTTTATCCACTCAGCTACTGATGGACAATTACGCTGTTTCCATGTCCTCAGTATTATAGATAATGCTGCAGTGAATAAGGGGGTACGGATGACTCTTTTAAGATAGTGATTTCTTTCAGATATATCCCCAGAAGCGGAATCACTGGATCAAATGGTCATCCTATTTTTAATTTTTTGAGGTAGATTTTTGATTTGCAGTTTCTGTACTACTTCAAGTTAGTACAGAAGCTTATCAACTGCAAACTTAATACCATGTTCCCCAAAAATACAAAAAAAACCCACCCCATATTAAAAGAAACAATATTCAAACAAAAAGATCTGATTATAACCCAGTATTTCTGTAGCTCAAATGGAACTACCTACTCTTTGATATTTCAGAAGTAAAATAGATAAAGTTACCCAACACAAAAACAAATTATTTTAGGCACCAAAATAATTGCAAAAATAACTGAAAATTATAGGTTAAAATTCTAGAATTTAGTAAACAACATATCCAATATGCACAATGATACTGATTTTCATAGTTTAAAACCTGAGAGAAATTTACCTTAAAAAGAACTCCTTTAATTTTTCATTACTCTAAAAAAAACAATTCAATCTCTATAATATACCAGGAATAAAGATTAATTTATCCTAGAGAGAGAGAGAGAGCTCACTTCAAGCTTTTTTGGAATGACTGATCATCACGTTTCTTCTTCCAAACACAAAATCCATATAGATTGTCACCTTAAATGAGATAAAGCATGGAAACTGCTTAAGCTCCAATCTAGTATCATAAATTACTCCATCAATGTTATTTCTCTTGAGTGCTCTTTCTCCTCTAAAATTCTAAACCCCCAATAAAACCAACTTACTTTCTTTCTTTATAATGCTTTCATCATATGTAAATGTATGAAGGCTATCTAAGTATTTGTTAGAACAAATGTAGGAGGCTGAAGACTACTTGATGATGACTACTGACAACAACAGAAGCAGAGACACAGGTCATGTCATCAGAGGAGACAAAAGCATCCCTAGACCACCG